TTTTTTTTAGTTAAAATCAGAAAATATTATGCAGTATTTTATGTAAATACACATTTGTGTAAGAATGGAAACTGAATGTCCAAGTACCTGACATACTGATGAGCTACACTTAAATTTCCAATTAAACTGATTCTATACACAGATAAATGCACTAGAAAAGTTATCCAAGAACATATGAATTTAGAACACATGCAGAGGCAGAAATATCACCTACACTACATGGCAACACCACTGTACAGGAACTGTTAGATTTCTCTGTCAGATATTCAGAGAAAATTCAAGACTTGACACTGCCAGATTTTATTCAGAAAACAGTGTTTCATAGTATTTTAAATGCTTTTTAATTAAGAAGTGAAGCTAAAAAGAAGGGCTTTTTTAGAAGACAAGGAATAGCTCTATTAAACAGCAATTCTTGGTCACTATTACTTTTCAAACAATAAAAATATGGAAAAAAGGTAACTTGAGAGAAATTCCATTAAAGCATGATTGGAGATCATTAATTAGTTTATATGGAAGACTAATTCAAGAAAACAAATATCATTATATGCTCTTAAGTAGTGTAATACTCTTTACAATTCACTTGACAAGTACAGTATGGTTTCTTTTGCTGAGAGCATCAGTAATATAAAACCAGAAAATGTGACTTAAAATTTGGTATCCCTCTAAAAACATTACTCAGTAAAATATTTGTTGCCTAGTAATATTAGTCTGGCAAAGAAAAAACTATCAAGATTGCAGATATCTGAGAAAGCACAGATTGATCCCTTCTGTTCAACTTCTACACATCTCTCTGCCCACCCCTGTCCTCCAAAACAGGCAGAACCTGGGCAGGGGAGCCAGGGTTTATCTGGTGACTACTGAGGAAAAAGCAAGTCCACCAGAGCCCATTCTTTCAGAACAGCCAAGGAGCAGCTGTCCCAAACCACTTCAGCAAGAGCCAGGCCAGCTGAAATCCACCACGTCCTTGGCATCGCTGTTGTCCTGACTGGCAAACACAGCACCTGCCTTGTGGAAGATGCTTTAGATCATCCTCCAACAGCAGCACATCCTTCTACAATCACTTTGGATTCCTGCCAGTATTTACTTTAGCACAGTTAGGACCAGCTTGTGCAAAGAAGAGACCAGGAAGTGTGAAATGTGGATTTCAGAAAGGAACTGCTTTACTCCCTCCCTTTTGTTATTCTGACCTTTCGGACACTTGCTAAGAGGCAACTTTGTTGAATTTATAGCCCTGTAACTTGTGCTCTACGACAGTGCTCAAATACAAAACCTCTCATGGGAAGTGCAGTTAAGGAATGCAATCATCATGTTGTTCCCTTTGCAGACAAGGGAGCACTCGTAAATAATCACACTGTCAGAGTCTGATATTTTATGATTAGGTGGGAGACCACATCTCCCACCGGACTGACAGAGCCCCAGTAGGGCTTCACACCACTATTCCAGGCTTCATAGGGCTCACTGAACCATCTCCTCAGCTGCAGCAGGAAATAACCTCAGTGCCAGCGGCTGTGAATCGGTCAGGATCAAACAGGAGGACCTAAAACAAGTGACTCCGTCGCGAAACCTCCCAATTTCAGGAGCACAAACAGCGACGAGCCGCAGGAAGCTGTGAGGCCGGGCAGAGCCCAGGGCCCCGCCGGGCCGAAGAGCTGCTGGGC